AGCCCCATGGAATGGTGTGATATCTCTTCTTGTCTCCAGAGATGATTGAAGGGACTTGCATAATGGTAGGAGTAATCTGTGGTGTACAAGCCTGGCATAGAAGAAGAATGGAGCACAACAAACTCAGTGTTACAATGTCCCTTAAATTGGCAGGAGTAGAAAATGACCTCTCTCAATGAATTGTCTTATTGAAGGACACAAGATATAATCCCTCAGCACCAGATATCTCACATTTTGTGGGCTGGTGGCAAAGCATTTTCCTTATTGATTTTCTGCACTTAGCCATAACTCTGACCTAGACCCTGATTAGTACTAAGACATGGAAGTGGCACTTTGTGGAAACAAAGGGAATTTGCACAAATTTATTCCTGATGGCAGTTTAATCAATATATACTGCTGTCACAGATAATAAAATGTTATTCATAATACAGCAAGCAGAGTTTTTTTCTCTCCTTCAAACCATGACTGCAATTCAGGACAGCAGCAAAAAGCATGACTGAATCTACAAAGCAATTGATGATGAAGACAAAAATGAGACACGAAGAAAAAAAAATGCCTCCTATATCATGCCATTGGCCCCCAGATTTTGAATGAACTCTTTAGCAAGCAGAAGCATGATTTGACTTTTGAATCTCTTGTCTTGTTTGAAATTTTATTTGCCTGAAGTTTGTTTACAGGAGTTAATTTCCCTTCATGTTGGTAAATAATTTTTTCTATCAAGCCAGATTCTGAGACATTGCTACATCAGACTGTGAAAGAAAATAGTGGGCAAAAGTAATGCTCTATTAAATGACCCTCTGACACAACTATTAAAGAAGAAAAAATAAATATCAGGTTGGAATGTTTTAAATCTGGTGCAGGGACAGATTTATGACACTGAACCTATTTCTTATGAACAATGGTATATTGTTGATAAAATCTGGGGGACAGAGGAGGTCTATCATTCCATCATTTCTTTTTATTATGCAAATGGCTCATCCATTACATACCAGCACTCAAATCTAATATTAATAGTATCAGGAAACACCACACACATACAAACACACAGAAAACTTTAAAACTTAAAAGAAAATACCCTTGTATCCGGTTATCGCCATCCCCTTTTGACACTGATGAAAGATTTTAGTGCCGTGTTTTTTCAAACTTGGCAACTTTAAGATGTGTGGATTTCAATTCTGAATTCTGAGTTACCAAGTTTGAAAAACATTGCTCTAGTGTTTCTCTGTGCTAACATTTTAAAGGCTGCTTCTTCCAACAAATGCCACCATAATCCATTTCATCTTTGAGATGCTGCAGCAATTTTACAATGCAATTGCTAGCATGGCTACCTTCAATTCAATTATCAATGCTCTGACATCAAGACTTATTAAATTGCAGCCTTAGATTTCTTTGTGGCTACCCAGATAGCTTGATGTTGTCACTTATTTTCTCAGATTTTAATCAGCTTCCTCCATTGATTCAGAAAAAAGTCAGGGTATATAGTCCCCTTAGAAATTATAATCAGATACATATCACACAAGCTCGTGTTTGGTCTGTGCAATGCCAGTCACGTGCTATGCCAGCCTTCCTTAATTTAGTGCCCTCTATTTGATAATAATTCCCATTAATCTGAATCAACATGACTAGTGGCTATACTGGCTAAAGATGATGTGACCTGTAGTCCAAAACAGTTGATCAACACTGCATTGGATATGCTAGCAGTTGACACTGTGGTTTTGTATTAAGTAAATCTAAGCTTTCATTCTTTTCTACCTCAAAATATTGTAGTGCTTTAGTAAGTTTTTATTTTCCAAGATTGGAAAAATGACACTTCATCTTCTTCCTTTATAAAAAAGATGTTCTCAAGATAGCCTTTCACACTCAGAATCTTCAATAGTTTTAGGACATGTAACAAACTCTGTCCATATTATTTCCATCCTGATGAAGGAGAAATCTATACACTGCAGTCCCAATTCATTAGGAAGGCACCAAGTTGCAGAAACATTCTCTCTGTATGTTTATTTTGTTACCTCCTTATTTCACTTGTCCCTCTTAACTAACCCACCCTCCAATTGTGCCAGTATCAACAAAGAGTTTTCTTTTTCCAACCCCATTCACTTGCTGTCTCTCTCTGTGTATTTTGCATGTTCCTCTATAAGAATAATTATGTATCCTGAAAAAGTGGAATTATTTGTGTGCACTTTTTAAAAAAGTAAAATATTTAAATAAAACTTTGCCAAATAAATCATTAAGACCAGCTCTTCAAAATTTTCCTGACAGAAGCTAATGAGCGAATCACTTATCAGCTAATCATTTATATATCAATATAAATATTATGCCCAAATGTTGCAGAGAGAACATGCTCTCCCAAGTAATGAGAGTTTACAAGTTTTAAAAAAAGGAGGACTTTTTATTTAACACATAAATATAATCACATTATGCAACCAGAAAAAGTCTCCATCGTAAGTAATTTGCAATTCCAAACAGAAAAAGTTTGGGAAGGAAGAAATGGAAACTATAGCTTTTAATTTTGAGCATTGCTACAAGAGAACATACCAAAGCTTAGACTGAATTTCTGGGTCCTTCAGGTTTGAGTAGCCAACATTAGTCACTAGACCAAGGATTTTCTTTACCTGGCTTCATAAATTTCATTTCTGCTTGTTGATAGAAATCGCCCGCTACTGCACTTTTAAAGTGCGAAACTTAACTACGAGTACTTGCATTTTGAGTTTGTTACAGAATTGTAATGTAATAGCGGGTTTGGGTGCCAAAGGAATTCTTCAGATAGTGGTGGGGTTCACACACTGAAGGAATACCAGTGGATTGGATTTTTACAATATACTACTACTTTGTCCATAAGTCATTCTTTACAAACAGGACTACAGAATATGCTAAATTGTATTGGGATTTGCTTGCTTTTGGCTTAGGGAGTTGTGTGACTCATCCAGCAAGTCTACAGTGCAAGATTTGTACTAGGTTCCCATGATCTTACCATTCTTCTTAAATCTGTTTCTGAAGCTAGCAACTGTTTGGTTTACGCCTAAAAAGGCAGACTTCTGGAAAGGTAAAAATATAATAAGAAGGTATCCAGAAACTGCAGAGATATGCCATTGTATAAAAGCTACAATATGGCATGTAACCACGATTCCTGCTATGTAAACAAGCCTAAGTAAATGTGGGCTTTTCACATTCCTCCTTTCCCTCTAATCGTCTTTTACACACTAGAGACTGGAAATGTTTTTGTTCTACAGTATTTTTAAAGTAACCAGAGTTCCCTAGAATGTCCAAACTTACAGAACAATACTTTGGACATGATGGAGAACTGTGATGTATTTAATCTCTAGTTAGTATGTTTAATCTATGTTAATAAGAAAAGGGTGGACTCCAATTATGAATTCAGATTCTAATTTGTTCTTACAAATTATAGCTTGAACACATTTGGACATAACACGGATTTCAAGTACTTAAAACAGGAATGGAGGACTTTTTAATCTCCTTGTTGCTGAGAGGTGGGATTGGGGGCAGACAGATATATATATATAAGCCTAGAACTCACCATAGCTTACCCACATATTGAGAAGCCTTGTTAACATCTTGTTCCTTCCAAGTTTCTCAGCCTATCCCTGTGTCTCCCTTTCCCTGCAAAATCTACATGAAGGGTGAACACACTGATGCTAATGACACAGAACCTCCCCCCTTACTTAACAACAAATACCTTATTAAGAGAACATTAACAACAACAACAAGAATACACAGGAATAGAAGTGCAATTAAAGCAAAAATTAAAATATAATTAAAATTAGTAATACAACAAGGATAGAATGGTAGAATCCTTCCTCTCAAGGATCTAAGCAGCATGAAGCTTTTATGGCAGATGAGCCTGACAGGAACAGAGGAATGTACACTATTCTATTAAGACCCAGCTGCCAGTGGGGAATTTCTTCAGTGGGGAAGCAGTAGGTGGTGTTCTTTTCAGAAAGACAGATGCCTTTACATTACAGTCCTCAACTTATGACCACAATTGGGACTGGAATTTTGGTCACTAAGCAGTGTGGTCATTAAATGAGGCATCACATGACTGTGCCCAATGTTATGAGCTTTTTTGCTGCGGTTGTTAAGTGAATCACATGGTCATTAAATAAATCATATGATAGTTAAGCAAATCTGGCTTCCCCTGTTAATTTTGTCAGAAGCCATCTGGGAAGGTCGCAAATCACGTGACCCTAGGATGCTGCAACCATTGTAAATACATTCTGGTTGCTAAACGCCCAAATTCTGATCATGTGACCGCAGGGATGCTGTGATGGTCTTAAGAATGAGGACTGGTTGTAAGTCACTTTTTTCCAGCACCGTCATAACTTTGAACAGTCACTAAACGAATGGTCATAAGTCAAGGGCTATTCGTGGTATACCTAGGAGCAGAGAGGAATTAAAAATTAAAAATAAAATGAGGTTCAGTTTCTAAATAGCTGAAAAGAAGACTGTTTTGCTTCCAATGCTTTACTTCAGAAAAATAATGGTTACTTCAGAAAAATAATAGTGTCCAACTTAGTACTTGGGGTAAGAGTCCTTCCTTCCTGCTGGTGAAGCAAGTGTACCCACTTTCAGATATGACAACTGTGCTTGTCTTTCTTGTCAACTCCCCTCATGAGCAATCTTTTTATCTTTACCACCTCTAAGATCCCTCCCTCTTCTCTCAACTGACTGACCTGCCTTAACCCAACATCTTATCCTATTGCCTAAGCACTTCTTTTCTGAAGCCAGAAAAATTGGGACACTTCTTAGCAGGGGTGTCCAGAGAAGTCAAAGCAAGTCAAGATGGCAGCCACAACCCCATAATCGATGCCCAGCCTCTGTGCATGCATTGCCACACACGATAAAAAGGGCCAGGTCTTTGATCACATGGTTACAGCCACCATATTGACTTGTTGACATTTCCCCCCCCCATCCCCAAACAGGTGCCTCTGCTACTTTGGGGCTACCAGATCTGGGCTGCAAAGGTCATGATGATCACTAGATGATAGCAAAGAGATAAAGACAATCCCAATATTTTCTTCCATATAATAATCCTCCAAATTTTTGCAGCCCGGATCTGGTAGTCTTTGCTTAGTAGCCATGCTGACTGTCTATGAAGGCAGACAGTCTTTTTTACAGTCGACCTCAAATCACTAATACAAGCAAATCTCAACAGAGGGAACAGTAAGGACTGACACAACAGAAAAACCTACTGATGTCACCATAACATATCCTACTAATTTTTTAGTTTTTTTTTTTTTCATTGTACAAACACTTCTCTTTGGAAACCTTCTTAAAAAGAATATACAAAAAGGAAAAAATGCAAATAATTTGGTGTGGAAGATAGAGTCTGGTCAGCCATTGTTAACATTGCTGTTGTTATTATTATTGTTATTTTAAGAAAAAGAAAAAAACAGTAAGAATGAAATGGGACAAAGTGAAGAAAGCACCAGATTAAAACATCTTTCCCCACCCAGCTCTAGATGTGTTGGGACAGTAACCCCCAGAATTCCAGCAATGAGCCAGAATAGCATGCTGGCTGGGGAATTCTGGGAGTTGACATCCAGACATCTTCAAGTTGCCAAAGTTGAGAAACACTGCAATAGGATATTGTGGGAGTTATGTACGTCTGGTTAGGGAACATCAGGCTGGGGAAAGCTGATCAAAACCGTAACAGTTATGGTGGCATCTCCAAACTAGCTCCTAAATGCAGAACATGTTGCTTAGACATGATCAGACCTGTTTCCATGGGAACTAGGGTCAGGCCTGCTACAAGCGTAGCAGAGTCCATTCCAAGTTCACGTCAAGGAGCTCCAGTACAATTGCTCCTCAAGAACAGAAGAAAACCAAACCAAACCAAACCAGCTTTTGGCACAAGTCTGAGTCTGATGTTCTAGAAAGAATACCTCTGATTTTCATATTTCTGAAACCATTCAAGTGAAAATATATAAAGTTCATTCCAAGTAACTGCCCTTCGCCCACTCCCCTCCCCATACCCCCAGTTTAGACATAGCAATTGAACATGAGGTACTATGTATTACTAATCCAAAGCAAGCCTGGGAGCCTCCCCCACCCCCTTTTCTATTCATACTTTAATAAATATATGAACCTGTAAAAATTATGGAGGATTGTGCATCCTGGAAGGAAATTCAACTAATAACACGATCAATAAAATGGAACTGCTTGGAAAGCTGCTTTAGGGGCTAAGAACCCACTGAGACATTTCAATTCCACCCCCTCCCCCCAAGAAAACCTTCCTAGGCCCACTGATTGTTATATTCTGGCAAACTCCCAGCAGCCTTCATTTGGCCCTTGCAACTTACCCAAGAAAAACAATACAATTTTGTTTTTGAAAGTCTAGAGAAAAGGAAAGCAATCAAACACAAGGAGGAAGAGGAGGAAGAGAAAAAGGAGCTGAGATTAAATTCGAACCAGCCTCAGTCCGTTTCTAGGCGTACCAGTGGAAGTAAACCCTTAAAACTGCAACTGTAGTTTGGTAAGGCACTACAAGGGAATGATGTAAAACTAAGACTGTGACAGTGTATAATGGCTGTGCTGAGGACCACACCACAAGAAAAGGCAGCATCAGCGCGCACATGCGCACACACACTCACACACGCAGACACATATATACCTGGACAATCACATTTGTTACATGCCTATGTTATATCACTTTTTTGTGCAATAACATTGAGGAATAGTCTATTGGTATCACTGGAGCTTAACACAAAGTAGAAAACGGCTGTATGGATGTATAGTGCTACATTCTACCAAGGGCCAGCTAGAACTTCTACTCCTACACTAACAACCCAATCCTAAACATTTGGGATTGTGTATCTGCTCCCAGTACTGCTGTGATGTTCCAGCAGCAACAGCACATGCTTGTGCTTTGTGAAGTTGTGACCAAAGTAGCAATCAGCCAGAGCAGGCAATGTTAGGATTGGACTGCAAATGATGAAGGGTTATTCAAAGAAATACAGGGAAAAAAAGTATTTTCAAGTAAGGAAGTTGAGATTCTATCATACATTATTAAAGACTTTTCCTTTAAGAAAAGGGATTTATCCAGGATGCTCAGAGTAAGAACAAATATTCCCCACAGCTTTGATTTCACCAGATCGTGTTTTCTGCTCAGTGTTCTTCTATCCTCCCAACTTTCTAGTGCTTCTAAACTTATTGGGAGAGCTGGAATAATCCAAAACAGCCCTCATTTTTTGCTCATTCCATTATCAACAGAAAACACATCACACTTTTCACTGTGTTTTTTTTATTTTGGGTTACAGCAACCAGTGCAAAGACAAAGTCATAACCCTTTTGAAATTCTGGATAAATCCCTAATTTGTATGCTTCTTTGTTTAATTAAAAAAAATATACCCAAACACCTATGAAACTTTGTATTAGAAGGTTTGAACAACAAATTCCTAAACGGAGTCTCCTGTAATCAGATGAAAATAATCTGTAAAAGTCTCTTGGTGAAGTTATCCAAAACAGGACCAGACAATTATGGTCCTTCTGCTTCTCCCACTATGTGGTTTGGTGCAGAATTTTTTTTTTTTTGTATTTTTATTTTTCATTCTTTTTAGCTTTTTTTCTTTCTTTTTTTCTTTTTTTAAATAAAAAGTGTAGGACGTGTCTCGTCTTCTTTTGTCTGCCTTCTTCCTCAAAGTCTCCTTTGTTCAAGTTTTGTCTGAGCCTCCCGTTTGCATTGTTCATTTGCCTGTGACATTCTTCAGTATAAAAGCAGCCTTGTTCCTCTCAATGTGTGCTGAAATGTCTTTTAGTTTTCCTCATTCCAGTGTTTAGATGTATGGGTACTGGTTGATCTTGGTAGGGCTTAGGGGATATCCAGTGTAGACAGAGGCTGGAGATGCACTGATATAGGTCTGATGGGCAAATTGAGCTTGATACTGACTTGGGTGGATTGTGGGTGATGGAAGGACACGAGGGCCCATGCTGACTGGAACCTGATGGACGATGCTGGCTGGATAAGTAGTGTGCTGTACGGTGTGTCGAGCTGAGCCTTGGGAAGCCACTAAGTGGGCCACAGTGCCTGTGGAACCTAGAGCCGCAGGTGCTGTATATGTGTATAGATGAGGTTGAGCTGGAAGATGGGCAGCAGCAGCAGCTGCGGCCAGGTGGGGATGGACCGTGCCATGGCTAGGGCTGTTGTGTGGGAAGGAATACGGTGCCTGAGCAATTGTTGGAGTGATGTAAGCCTGTTGTCGTCGATGGCTTCCTGTGCGATCGGTTGCAATGTGCTGCTGAGCCTATGCAAAAGACAGAAAGAAGCAATTGATGGTGAGGGTTGGTGGTCACTCTTTGTCCTCTGGAACACTCAACCCTCTTAGTTATGAGTGTTTGCTAGGACTCTGAGTGGAAGAAATGAGCAACATGGATTGTCTTGCATTCATGGCTGAGAGCCTGTATATAACATTATGGCTAGGAGGACAATATTTTCAAGGGGGGAGGCAAATTTAGCCAATGCATAAAAATTAAATATTGTAAAAAATAATGTACAAAAATGCTTTATATTAGCAAAAATTGTAGTAACTATATGCATAGACAAAAAAGTTTTTAAAAAAACTTCCTCCATCTTTGGAGAAATATGGTCCCCAAATACATACAAATTTTAATATGAGCATTTTTTGAAAGAATCCTCAAACCCCCAACTTGATAGACTTGGACAGCTTAAGAAAAACAAAAAATTGAGAGCAATGGAAATACATATGTACCCTTCATTTCTATGTTTCTTGAGAGTAGCCAGCAAACATATTTTTCCCAAAATATCATGGACCAATTTTGATTTGAATGCAGGAGGACAGAGATTGTCAGGCAAAGCATGCTTAAAAGACTAATGTTTCTCTGCAGATTTCCCTCTCCCCATTGGCTTCTTCCCACGTTGAATTCTAGTTAGGAAAAGTCATTCTAAAAAAGCAGCTGAGGGAGAAAAACCACTGGATTAAGGACACCAGTTTGTTTACCAGGTTTGTATGAGTGCCACACTATTCCATTAACAATATGAGAAAACCCATAATGTGCTGTTTTTGTTGTTGTATAACTGATACAGTGCCATCACTGTACACGCGACAAGGTCCTTGCTCCAGGAAATTTAAAATGTATAATTCAGCGCAGAGAAAGGGGAAAGAAAAGGAACAGAATAAACAGTGGGAGAATACACATTTATTTCAGTTTTCTGTAATTAGTTTTTGTTATCATAGCATAAGCTACAGCAATGTGATTTTCTTTTAGATTTACCAATTCCAAAATCCATGTGCATGGACACGTGCCTTCACATTCTGCCTAACTGTTCTGCAAGTTAGGCATAATCCAACCCAAGAACACAGTGTGTGTGTGTGTGTCTGTATCATCTATCTATCTATTCACACAACTTGTTAAGCCACAGTTTGCTTACCTATAAGCTACTGAGTAAACCGAACTGCTAGGTGCACATAGTTTAATAAACCAGGAGTTATGGTTTACAAACCACAAACATGGGATCCAACCACAGCATGCCACGAACTAGCACATCACTATTTGACTCAGCGTGTTGGATGAACTCAGTTACTGAGACCCTCCCCCCATCTCACTTAAATGAAACGTTTCCTTCCTACTCCGTCCACTTCTCTCTTCTCTGACCTTCGATAGTCCCTGATCTGTGACTGAGGTCATAGATTAATACAGCTAATTTTGAGTAAACTGGTCTCTATGGAAGTAAGTTGCTTTGCCTGGACTGTGGAGACTCCTCCAGCAGTTATTACAGGGCTCTGTGGCCTCATTTACCCTGTCTTCCCTTGCTTGGCTTACCTGGCTGAGATTAAGAGGCTGCTGCTGCTGGAAGTGTGGTCCTGGCCGCTGCTGCCTGTAGGCAATGGCTCCGGATGAGCTCCCTGAAGAGTGACCACTGGTGGAGGTCACAATGCTAGAGGACTTTGACTTACAGGAAGAGGAGTGGTGACTGGTAGCGACTAGAGGGGAAAAGAACATAGGCTCATTATTGCATTCAAGTCTGAGAGCTTTAGCAGCTTTCAGGCTTTAAACTGGCACCCAAATTTATGCCAAGCTCTTCCTTGGTCAAGTTACACCTTGTTTTATTCATATTCAACCCATTAAGTAGTTCAGGGAGAGCATACAACTTGCAGTTCCAAAGCTACACGGGCCTCTGAAAGCCCTCAGAGATGGGCCAAACTGGCTAACAATTGTGCGTGCTTTTTCTTTAACGTAACAGAAGAAGAAAATCATTAAATGCATGGGAAGGAATCATATTAACTGCCTGTAGAATTTTTTGTTTTGGTATGTGCCTTTGAGTCAACACTGACTCCTGGAGACTGCCTGGACTAGTCCCTGTAGTTTTCTTGCAATATTTTCAGAAGCGGTTTGCCCTTGCCTCCTTCAGGACTGAGAGAGACAGTGACTGGCCCAAAGTTGGTTTTGCACCAAAGGTGGGAGAAGAACTCATATGCTCCTGGCTCCTAGTCTGGCGCCTTAATCATTACACCAAACTGGCTCTCCTTTAGTTATCTTAATTTAATTAAAATTATATTCTATAAAAGTTAGTTTTTGTCCTGTCCCTTCCCAATTCTATATCCTGGCCTACCCTATTTGGGGGAGTGCAACTTTCAGCATGCTCTTCAGAGGTCAAGTGTGGTCCTTAGCATGAAAAAAGGAGCAAGGAGTCACCTTCACTTCTGCCAAATTCCAAATAAGTTTTTTTTACAGAACTGTTTGCATCTGGAGCTCTTCCATGTCTGCTTTGGGAAATCTTTTCTCTCTCTCTCTCTCCTTTCTAACTAACACTTCAGGCTAACACTTCACAAATAGTGGGCTACTTATGGCTGAGTCTGACAGGAACTACTAGAGAATTCTAAATACTGATGAAGTGGGAGACACAGGAACCATGCATGTATATCATGACTCATGTTCCCACTGGAACTACTTAACACCAAAGGCTGACAATTCATGATCAGAGATGTCCAAATCAAATAGAACATGATATCTGACAGTTACCCAGTTGACACAAAAGATACCAAGGAGCTGTTACTTCCTCCTGCTTTTTTTTTTTTAGTTTACTTTCAAAAAGAAACAAGGAAAAAAATAACATGGGGAGGTCCTATTAAAGTCAACCCCACTGTAGACAGACTTGGGGAGGTTTATCCACCTATCACCCATTTCTGCCATTCTTCCACTCCTCCTGCATGGTCACAGGGATGGTGAAGAAAAGTAACATGGAGAGAAGGTTCCTAAAGAAGTCCTGATTTTGGCTGACAGCAAGACAGTTATTCCTTTGTTAACTCTGTCTTCCCTACAAGCATGGCACGCTAACCACAACCATTATCCACCTTTCATTTAAAGGTTTTTATACCTTTAAGCAATGCAGCCAACTTACCTGGTACCAAACTATCACATTCTACTAAGACTTCACTGGCCTGGGTTTTCAGCGGTGGTACAATGATCGTCCGAGGATTGCCATTACAGTGCGATTCTTGTGCACCCTTTGTGTCATAATTGTTTCCGTTATTGTTTCCTCCACGGTGTTGTACTGCATAGGGACTGTTGTTGCCAGAAGAATCAGAGTAGGGGGAATCGTGCACAGTTACACAGCTGATGACATTTTTTCTTTGCTTAGACAGGGGGCTGTAAAATAAAACAGAACCTTTATGTAAATCTTGCCTATTTGGCAGCAGGTAAAAGTATAGTCATGTTGTTCTCAATATCACCACCTTTTTTTTTTAACATGAAGCATAGTGGTGAGACCTACCACTTCCACTAGGTCATCAATACAAATGGCAAGGCCAGCCCTTCCATTAAGCTGATTCTTTCAGGTGCTGGATGTTGAGATGTGGCAGCAAAGTGTTGGAGGAGAGAATGGTGTATCGGATAGCCTGCTGTAGACCCCTTCTGCTAGCGGTTGCCTTTGGGTGCTATGGAGTATTGTCCCTCACCAGTTATCTCTCCCTCAAAGCTCTTTGAAATTGCTTTCCTAAATCCCAGTAATTAATATTACTCTTCCCTTTCCTTCACCTTGCCTCAAGATTCACATTCACTTTCTCTTACAGTCTCTCCAAATTGCCATTTGCTAACAACTTTTGAAAAGGCTCTGAGGGCCATACCAGGACTTTTAGAGATCCTAGTTTGTGTACTCTGTCCTAGAGCATGTCTAGCATGAATCCATCATTAACATGAACACTAAGATACTATTCAAGTTAATCTGTTGGTGATTAAATCAGAAGAATTCAAAATAGTTAACACCAACATCCCTCATGCTATGCTGCCAGTTTATTGAACAAAATGCAGCAATACGATCTGGAACTCACACTGCTATGGTGTCTGATGACACTCTGGGTTTTCCTCATCCTCCTTGTTCTTATCTTGTGTAGAGGGTGGCCAGCCGTGCAAAAATTTGCTAAAATGGCTCTATTCCCCAAGTGGACTATGGGCTCAATTACAGGAAATCAGAGCAATGTTTTCCTGGTTGCATTATGTTGCTATGGCAACAGTAATTTTTATAGAATGCTGACAAGAATTGTGGATAAAGAACTCAGCAATTAAATATGTTGGTGGACACTCTCTCAGAGACAGGATATGGAATGCAAACATAACTTTTCTTAATGTTTTCAGTTACGTGTGTATGAGTAGGCACATAAATGTGTATGTATGTGTATATGTGTCTATATGTGTACACACACACACACACACACACACACACACATGCTTCATTTCATGGTTGGTTTGTTTTTAAAGAATGATTGTCCAAGAAATGGGGCATTCTGCTGAATTTTATCCATATTAAGACTGGGCTGGATTTTATTCTTATCCATGCTAAAGTCCAACCAAATAAACCATATTATGGTTTAGCATATTATGTGAATCCAGCTATTATTGTTTGTAAACTAAAGTTATATAAACCAAATCAAACCAATTGTGGTTTAGTCAACAAACAATGGTTTTAAGACATAATGTGACACAAGGGACAACATGGCTTCACACAAGCTAAACCACAAAGCATACTATAATGGTTGGACTTATATAACATGCTACTTCAAAGTTAAACTAAGTCAAAACTAAATAAATTATATTTTTATATGAACCAGGACAAAGATGTTGCTATTAGTTTAACAGTAATGGTTTCTCTGAAGACTTTTAAGAATTCTGTTTTTGGGAAAGTATAGAGCATGCCTCTCTTATTATTTTTTTAGGCCCTTTATATTTGTTCTACTATTCTATATTATTTTCAATTGTCATCTGACCTATTTGTTCAATTTTTTAATTAGCCACTCTGGGAACCCTTCCAGGCTGAGCTATATAATTATCTATATATGTATATTATATAACTTTAGGAATTAAAGGAACAGGTAAGAACTGGCACTGAGGTAACAGAAGTAGTGAAGAAATTGGCTTTGAGAACTCTGTAAACTTTGTATTTTAATATATTTCTCCAAGGGAAGCCTTTTTAAAATGGAAACTCTTGTCTTACACAAATATTTTATTGATTTTTCTGCATCCTAAAAATTTGTATTTTTTCCTCTTATTTCTAGAAGGTGCAATCCAATTCCTTCTGCTTGTTGAAGCAGACAATTACTTTAAAGCAGTGTTTCTGAACCTCAGCCACGTTAAGACGTGTGGACTTCAAATCCCAGAATTCCCTAGCCAACACTGCTTTAAAGCATCGTTCCCCAAATCAGCATCCACCAAAAAAGTTAGACTCTAACTCCCATAACTGCTTACCAGCATGGATGAAAATTAGGAGGATTCTGGGTTAGGAAAGATTGGTTTAAACACTGCAGGTAAAAAAGAAGGATCCCATTACTAAGGCTTGTATCTCTCTTTTCAGTACGTTTTCGGTATCAGTAGCAATACACGTTTTTTGCGCTTAGGGTTTTTTCTTTCTCTGCAGATAATAGCAGCATGCCCCCATTCTCTTCAACAATGCTTGAACTGGATATCTCTGACATTATATTCTGCCCTCTTTGTGAAACCAGCATTGCCAAGGGCCGAAGACTCATGTTCTTCTCTTGCCTGAATACAAATGCTGTGCAGAATTTTCCTGCACTTTTCTTAATGATTCTGGTGAAAGATAATTCCCTTGGGAATTATTTTTTTTTAAAGAGAAATGAATTTCAGAGAAACTCTCATGGGTGTTGATACATATTTAACCTGGTTACTCAAGTCACCCTTTTTATGGTTTTTTCCAAACACTGAACTAACATGCTGGGTTCACACAAAGTACTAAAATGGGGGGGAAATAAACTGACAAAGCCTCTGGTCTTTCATTTGTTCAAACACAGCCATTGAAGTACAAGGTGCATCAAGAGGTAGGTGTGACTGTCCTGTCTTTCATTGTCCAATCATGATCTCTACAGTGGACTGCACCCTTCCTGGTTTCTCACATTCCTGTTAAATCTTAAGGGAGCTCATCCCATTGGACTGATTAGGAATTATCAGCAACCAGGAGAGCTTCAAGTGATGGAAAGATACATAACAAAAAACAGTATCACCAGCAGTCTCTTCAACGATAAAGGGAGCTCAAAACACCACAAAAAGAAATGTGTAATTCTCCTTAGCATTATTATATACCACAAGAATTTATGCTTTTCCAAGGCCAGGCTCTTTTGTACATGCATCAGTGATGCAGACACATACAAAGGCCTTGATTACACTGACACAACTGTCATCACATTTTTTTTTACCAGCTCCATGCAGATGCTGCTAGTAGGAGGCCTCTGTTCTACAGTTACATGTAAACAGGATGGGTTCTTGCCCTACCTGTAACTATAAAGGTGAGAAATTATATATCAAGAGAAATATGTCCAAAGATATTAAGATGAAAGATTAGCTGTAATTAATGAGGTGGAATTGTGCCCACTCTAAGCCAGTTTGGTCTAGTGGTTAAAGCACAAGACTAGAAAGCAGGAGACTCTAAATTCTAGGCCACCCTTAGGTGTGAAAGCCGACTTGGTGACTTTGGGCCAGTCACTCTCTCTCAGCCTAACTCACCTCACAGGGTTGTTGTTGTGGGGAAAATAGGAGGAGGAAGGAATATTAGGTATGCTTGCCACCTTGAGTTATTTATAAAAATAATAAAGGTGGGATTAAAAAAAACGCTTTAAAAATCCATTAATACACCCTGTGGAAATGAAATTGGCAACTATCTGGCATATCTGTGTCTTTCTCAGAAACACATGACTATATAAATCAGGATCATGTATATATTTGTACATAAACTGCAGTCAGACAACTTCTTCTTCTGTTTACTGCCCCAAACTATAAAGTCAGAAATCCTTGATGGGCCACTGAACAAGTACAGTATGAATAAATGGTAACTGCTTCCTTAAACTTTTTACAAGCAATGCTGGAAGTCTTCACAGAGGCACTTCCAACACCTTCCATTGCAGAATAAAATTCCCTACAGGAAGCAATTTAGGCAAATGGTTAAGACTGTTTTATTTTAAAAAGCATTTGTGCATAAAGTGAGTAGGGGGTTAGTGCTGTGGTTTTACACTCAGGGTTACTGCTTCAAATTCTTAATTCAAATCCATGCACTTTTAAATGGAATGGTAAGATGGTCAGAGGGTAGAGTTAATTGTGTCAGGAGTCCTTGTCAGGATACATAAGCAAGGTAGATAGATATTTAAGACATAAATAAAAGTCTAAATCACTATTTACACTCATTGAAAGAATAAATGTTCTTATTTGCTTGCTCTTTTCATTCCACGGAATTATGAGAAAATGACCTTGGATAAAACATCTTGTCTTACATTTAATTTCCATATAGTATTTCTCTTTTTAACTAAGTCTTCTTTCTAAAGAAAGAAAGTGCCATAATTTTTGTGAGGCGCTCATGGAAATTTCTAGTTAAGGGCCCATTCATATATGGGGTAGACAGCCCCATAGCCAGCATCTGCCCCTCTGGCCCCCATCTCCAGCCTCTGGAGCACCACCAGATTGAGTTGGCATAATCTGTGTGTCCATGTGTTTGCATTGTTGTTTTGCAAAAGTAGCAATGGAAAGGGATTTGTTAAACCTCTGAAAAGCAAGAGCATATCAATTTTCATCCTTACAATCTCTTCAATTGCCACCTTTGAAAATTACAAAACATTGTATCATTGCATCACTTGGATATTTGTGGTCCTTGGAAGCCAAAATACTTTAAAAATAAAAAGGAGGGCCTCCAGACTGAAAAACTCTGCCTACCCCTGCATTAGAGACAAGCTGCAACCCCAAAAAGGTCTTCATTTATATGTACTATTCAGCTGAGACAAAAGTAGGGAACTACTAATCTTTCTTGAGACTGATGGATTTGGGTGTTAGGTAGTGTGTGTCACACAAGGAATTTACTATTTCTTCTTCCATTCTGAGTGAGCAATTAGGTTTATTTTTCTTTCTTTCTTAAATGTGGAACATTGGAAAATTGATTTTCAGAAACGGTACCCCTCGGCATTCCACACTGAAGCAAAAAGGGCCTCAGGGTTTGTTCCGGGGCATAGTTCCTATCATCTACTTGAAGAATTGAGAAAGGTCAACTTTGTTGTAGCAAATATACAAAATTAATTTGGCATGGCTTGGAACAAGCAAGTATATGCTAATGGCTACCATGTTCCTAGATGATCACTGAAAGGAAACTGAGTTCATTAGATTTAACATTGAACAGACATGTTTTTACTTTTATTTATAATTAGGCACAGTGAAGTCCAGGTTGGATTGCTGTAGAGGCTTATCTGAATTAGCACTGAATTCCTGCAGTCATCATCCAGTTGTCTTTGGAATATGTAGACTAGCATAAAGGCTAAGGGTGGTGGTCTGGGACCAATGAGATTCACATCTTCCCTTGACCATATGGTCTCTGGAGTTTGTGCCAATCGCTACCTTTCAGTCCAATTTACTTCATAGTGTTGTTTTGGAGAGGCTAAATTAAGGGGAAATCCATCATGCATGTTACCTTACGGTCCCAGAGGAAAAGCATAAGTATTGCAGGGAATGATGATGGTGATACTATGGTTGGTTGCACAGTCAGCCAGATGTTTAGACTGGATTTGGCATTTTTATCCACCTATCGAATCCTTCCCAAGGATCTGGGCTAGGCAGTTGTTGTTGTTTTATGGTGTTAAAGGTATCATTACAGGATGTAAGCTGTTCCTAGTAAAGCTGCCTTTTGCAATTGATTGACGGTGATTTGGTCAATGCTGATGGTCTTCAAGTGGTGCTCCAGATGTTTTGGGATTGCACTCAAGGTGCCTATAACTATTGGTACTGTCTTTGCTTTCTTTTGCCATAGTATTGCTTTTATCTGTCCCAAATCTCTGAGTATTCAGCATGTTTGTCAACCATTCCCAGCTCATAATTTTCCTGATCTAGTCCCACACTTAAAAAGTTGCTGTTTGTTACACTGAGAATTAATCAATAACTTTTCCCCAATACGTAAGCAGTATTTCTGTATTCATTCAATTTATATGGCCACCCATCTCAAATACATGACTCTTTTTGGCTAATGATGATTAAAAACAAGATAAAAACATTAGAAAAAACCAATAAATAACATATATAGGAGCTGAAATAAAAGATCAGCCAACATAGCAATTTACACAACTATGATAGGTGCTCAGCCATACACCCAGGGCTCCAGCTCAGTAATAAAACTAGGTCTTCAAGGTCTTACAAAAGGCCAGCAGGTTTGGGGCAAGTCTAATGATGTTCTGCATAGTGATTTATTTATTGCTACAATCTATGTCACTCCATTTCCAGAGAACCTTATAGTATAAATAGAATAAAATTAAAAACAAAAATCAATTAATACAATTATATTCGTTGATTCTGACATACCAGCTTTTGGAGGTAGCATGATCTCATTCTTTCATAAAGGCCTTTCTGAAGAGCCATGTTTTCACACAGTATTATGCTACTGAGGATAAACTATAATATGGATGGTTTGGTTTTGGGTTAGAATGTTCTGGGAACTCAGCCACTGTGGTTTATAAGCCATTTATGCCTCAGTATAATATGTAAACCAAACAAATTGCAGTGTGGTGTAGTGGTTAAAGTGTTGGATTGGGGAATTCAAGTCCACACTGAGCTATGGAAGTTCAGTAGATGATTTTGGGCTGTTTACTGTCTCTCAAGCCAACTATCTCACAAGGTTATTGTTGTGGAAAAAAATGAGAGGAGGGAGTGCTATGCATGCTGCCTTGAATTCCTGAACAAAAGGCTGGATATAAATCCAATAAACATACAGAGGGTTAACAAAAATGTGACTTAATATGTATGAACCACCCATGTGTGTACATGTGAGAAAGAGAGAGAGAGAGAGAGAGAAAGATAAAAGCATATGAACACCATACCACTAATTATCAGTAAAATACAATTCTAAGCATACCTTTCTTCATTAATTTTGCTCAGAGTAGTAAGAACATTGAAGGAAGACTATCATGGGGTGTCTCTGGTGGGGGGAAGCAGGGAAAATGATGGCACATGTGTGATGACATCATTATACAAATGCGCCCACCTTATGTACCTGCACAAGGATGTAATGATGGCATTTGTGTTATAACATCATCACACGTGTCAGCATTTTGACATCGTTGTGATTTACTTTGAATGTCTCTGGATGCAATCCCAGAAAACTAGTCCTAGTAAAGCATTTGTATTTATAAAACACATACCTGGAATTTTGCCATTAATTTATTGGTCAACAAGTGAACTCTGAATTATACCCCTTAAAGGAAAAATATTCTTCAGTTGTACAATACACTCAAGATTGCCTCCATTAGGTGGCACACTTTTACTACATTACAGTTTAAAACACAAGGGTGTCTTACTACTGTACATGGAAATCTTCTTTCCCTACTGTTTTTCAAATGATGATAATTGATTACCTATAAAAATGTTTATTGATTAAAAACTATAATGCAAAATGTATAGGTAAAATGATGGATTAAAGCGCAGTTAACTTGTTCCCATGCCTATTTATTCAGAAGCAAATTCTAGGCTCCATCAACTTACATCACTATGTATGCATTGATTCCTTTGTACACTTTATCCCTATTAGATATAACAGGATATACAAAAAACATGTATAGGATAGCATGGTTAATGAAGAAAAAGTGACTTTTCTAATATGATTCTAAAATTCTACCTGTACTCATCTACTGATTTGCAGTTTAGTTTCTAAACCTGTTTATATGAAAATAGGGCCCACTAGGTTCAGTGGGATTAATTTCCTAATAAGGATTGCTGAATTAGGAATGCTGCCAAAAATATTAGACATTAATCTTATACAAGAATGCATATGGCTAGGGCTCTATTTTTTTTAATATACCGATTAACTATATTTTAATATATGGTTGGATTGCTGTATATTGAAGTCAGAAATGTTGTTATAATATTTCACTTCTATTTTTCTACTGCATATTATTTTCTGCCTTGGATGCTTGCATCCCAGAACTATTGCATTTAATAACTATTGTTATTAAAAATAACTACAGTAGTGTTACATCTACATTTTATATCATTAGGGGAGATTCCTAATGATATCTTCTCCTAATGATACCTTCCCTATCATGTTGCATGACAATTATTTAGACCTTATTTTTGATCTTGTCTGGGATTAGAAAAATAAACAGTATCTTAGGTTGTATTAAGATAAGAGTTCTTGAGGGAATACTAAGGTTTTAGACTAGACTGGGAAGTTGAAAAAAATCCTGAAAGAAGACAAAGGGAAACCACATTTAGCTGTTGCCAGGAAAACTGTGTGATTATGTCCATGTAATCACCAGAAGCCAAGTGTGACTTGAGGATAGTTCTTCCTTCTTTTAATTAAAGTGTTCACATGGCAGCCATATCCAAATCATCATTATGAAATCTGAAATTAACCTTTTAGATTTGAACACCATCCTTTTTTTTTTTTTTTTAAGTTTGGCATGCTTGCCTTTGTCACAAATGGGATTAAGGGCCTGGTTTAGATTTCAACAAGATCTGGGTTAATTTTTGAAAAGTTCAGAAGGTTAAGTTCAGGAAATTAATAATACTGAATTCCCTCTGGAGGAAACACTGGGATATGTAGACCAATCCCTAATAATCAGGGAACAGTTTTCCAAAGCCATATACTCTACCGGGCTGCCTCTCTGCATGAAATACAATCGCTGATCCAGCACTCTTAGACTGGGTTGGGTAACCCAGGAGAAACAAGATTGTATATAGTTCCTGAACCTCTTTTTTAAAGCCCAGAAATCATTTCACAATTTTTTAATTATATGGTTCACAGCTTCTAAAAATTGTGCCCAAAAATGAATACATAAGGAAAAATATGTATATTGCGGAAAAAAGTTCTTGCGAACTCTAGGGTTCTTGTGAACCCTAGGAAAAGCATTTGCATTTTAGAAGCAATGCACACAAAAGCACATACATTTTTAAGTCAAGTTCCCTAACAAACTGAAATGAAGGAAAAGAGAAGCTGCGTTAAACTAAAATCAGTGGATTTGCCCAACCCAGAAACAAAGATTAGCTGGTGATGCACTGATGCACTGATAAATAACCAAGAATTCTAAACCTATCATGTGTACCTACATATTTCTGCTGACCAACATATATGATATCAACTTACCTTGTAGGTGCATGCTTCTGTTCCTCCTCCTCATCGGTGTCACTGCTGATTGTGATAACACTGACTGTGGGGCTGGGAGTGTCAGGGATGACTATCGTTTGTCGCTGTCGTTCCCTTGTAGTACTAGAAGGTCCATCTCCCCACCCACATGTGACAGAGGTGCTGCAGGCCGGGCTGTTGTGCACCACTGCACAGCGAGGAGGGGTGTTCTCCTTTACTCGTTTAGACCGCTGTGGAGAGCTGATCGTCTGAGAAGAGGATACCTCAAAGTTGGACATATTCCTGAAATGGTGACAGGAAGCAAGAGATATATTAAATGCGTACAAAAACAAGATTAATGAATTTCTTTTCATGATAACCTTTTGTAGATCACAGTCCATTTTTCATCAGAAAAATATTATGCATATATAGGCATGTTGCTGTTGTGGAGGATGGGGAAAGAAGGGGAGAATTAGGATAAGTAGAGAGGAGAGAAACTATAGATAGTGACTACTAGTCCAGATAGATGGTAGCACCTAGCTGCCCTTGGCTGATTGCAGAAAAGGTAAGCAGTGTCAGATCTGATTAGTATTTGAATGGCAGCTGACAAATCATACAGCTGTAAACTTGGCTGGGACAGTGATAAAAAAGTCCCTGAGAAAATAAATTACAAACTACTTTCATATTGTTTCCAAGAAAACAACATGAATGTGTTCTTGTAGTCTACAGGAGTCAAACTCAACTCTTAGATCTGAGCATGTTTTGAAAATGATCTAGAAGTGCTTTGGACCTCTTGTAAGTCCAGCCCCTCTCTGCTTCTTATTAAAGCAGCCACATTTTTTCAGGCTTCTATTGACTCATTAAAGCAACAGCATCTTTTCTCAGGAACTTACAGAAACATGAAAAAAAGACTTGGGGATTTTAATAAATGGAGAGGTGCCGTGCTTACACTCAGTCCAAAGTGCTCCTTCCAAATCATTTTCACAACATCCATACCCATATGTAAGTGTTACACAAACATTCTTGCACTGATGGGCTGTTTAATAATATATGCAGTATGATAAGAAAGCTTACACTAAATTCAATCCATGAGAAATGGTGTTATCTGGTTTTTGTTTTTTTGTTTTAATTTTATCTTGCTGCAAAATAGGCAACAGAGTTATCCTGCTGGTAAATGTAAGTGCAATCAGTGCCGCTACTGCAACCTCTTTTTCTTCCCCTGATTTTCTGGATCTTTTATGTTTCCTTGAAAGATAATCTCATACACATTTATCAAGAAATAAGTCCATGTTTGTGGAAATGAGCACGCTCCAGGTTTGGAGTTCTAGCATGATACAGAGTAGAACAGGGGTTGAATTCTGCCCTTGCTCTTTTGGAGGAGTCTTTATTAGAGGATGATTTGAAGGCCTTAGGAAAGCAACTAGCTGCTTTCACACTAGTTCACACTTATAACCAAGCAGTTTGGGATTTTCATAAGCTGCATTTCACAGTTCAGAGGACTATGATGTGCAATTCAAAGACTGTGATTGAAGCATCGCTCAGCCATGAGTAGTGCAGGTGGCTGAAGCTCTCAGGTGAGGGACAGGAATCCACAGAAATAAAAACCTACTTGAAAGTTTGATCTTATTAATTAAGGGAATCTGGATTAATGGCAGCTGGTCCTGTGTGTGTTCCTGAAGGCTCTGGGGTTTTTTTAAGTACACAGCAGCCAGTATCGGAAATACTGTCCGTAAGTAAGTTATCATGACTGTTGATGCTTGCAAATAGTTTCCATTGTCCTCTACTGGAACTTCCTTGCTTTTGGATTTTGTTCTTGTGTCTGCAAGTTTGCTTTGTGCTGTATGACACCTCTCCAGCAGGGCATATCTCCTCTTTTAAATTCAGCAATAATACTAGCCACAAAGCCTTTCACTGCAAAACCTACTGAGATAGCAATATGGATGCTATAGAAGAATAGTATTGTTTGTGCTGAAGGAAAATAATGCAGCGTGGAAGGTATAAGGACAAATGTTTCTGAGATGGCATGGGTAGGCTGTTCATTTCCCAGTTCTGCTTTTCAAAACTTAGATGTTCCTTTAAATATTCTGCTTTTCTTCCAAGGGGCTCAGGGCAACATTTGAATTAAGGTAGGGGAACAGTTTTGGCTTAGTATATTGCAGGTTGTAAACTAGGGTTTATAGTTTCCTCTTGTATTTTATTATGTAAACCTAGCCAAGTGTGGCTTGCTGAACAAACTATAACATAAGACACTGGTTGAGCCCAGTCACTTAAACTTAAGCTGAGTCACTTAAACTTAAGCTGAGCTCCAGATGCCTGCTAGGTTCTCAGTGACAAAGTTACTAAATACTGACAACTGTGAGATGCCATGAAAACTCACAATACCCTTGACACTCTGTCTGGATTTAGACATTTAAATCATGGTTTCCTGACTAAGCCAAAATTGGTTGGATTCATGCAATGTACTAGATCAAAGCTGATGGCTTAATATAGTAAACCGGACAGTGTAATTCCAGAGCAACATAGAAAAAAACTGCATTATCCCTCTACTGACCCCTTTCAGGGAATTAAAAAGGCATCTTCAAAACACCAAAGGAAAAGGCTTGTATAATGGATGGCATGAGCGGGGAAGATTCTGGAATGGAACTTCAAGATTGTCAGGAGAGGGGAGAGACATTCCAGGGCAAACACCTCCTCAGCCCGCAGCAAGAGTGTGGGAAGACGAAGAGGATGAGGCTGGCTCCTCCCTAGAGTCTCACGGAGTATATTCACTAGTAGCTGTAGATAGATTTAATCTGGCGAGATTCTGTCTATTAGGTAAAAGTCAATAAAGGAACTCTACTGCACTGGATGGCCTCGATGTGGTTCTTGGGCTGAACCTGACAGCTTGCTACAGGGTATTTTTTTTAAGGGGTGTGCAAAGTCACTGACTCCTTAAATCAAACATGTATTTTCCTATCCCAAAAAAAGAGTGTGACTTCACACAGGTTCAGGAACTGCAACTGGTTCAATGAGGGAATTCACACCAGATTCAGAACCCCTTTCCTCTTTTGGATCTGAATACTACATCTAGTTCTTCTATTCATGGAGCTATTTTGTTCAGGAAGCAGAAGCATTTGGAACCCTTAAAATGCAATTCTGTATGTACCCCAAACCTACATTTGAAAGCTGGACAGAATTTGGGAAGGCACTAAACACCTCTTGGACCTACTACTTACTCTCCAAGAAGCCAACCCACTTTACACTTTTAAGATCACTTTTTTGGTTGGTGTTCCAGTGTGATCTGCTACAATAATCAAAAGCAAGTAAACTTTTGATTCTGGCAAAAGTATTCTGCAGTCAGCCTTTGTCCGGGTGCTCAGATTGGCGTGAGAGCGAACAAAGAACAAGCTGGAATGTTATCAAAGGGAGGGGAATTATGGACATATACTCTGCAATAGAGTCCTTTGCATAACAAATGACTGAACAGTAGCATTCATGGTGCCTGCTGAATACCAATGAGAGACACAGAGCATTCTTTTCTCCAGAGAAGTGCATCCCTCATTTGTATACTGTATAATCATGCCAAGCAGATTTCAGGCTACGGGAACGGCACATTCTGCAAGGGCCTATTTCTATCTCCCACCTCCTTGAGTAAATATCATGTGCCTGTGGGTGGGGAGAGGAGGGAAGTTTAGCAGGCCAGGATGTGCTAAGAGAATCTGTTCCCTGTTTTAATGGTGGACCAGGCCTTTGCAGTCTCTATCCTTCATTTCATGTAGGGAAAGAGGGCTGGAAAGCAGCCAAAGCGAGCAAAATGAGGAAGATTTAAAAACAGATTGGTTTTCAACAGAGAGAAAGACTGGTTACAAATTCATTATACGTTCTTTGGCCTCAACCAGAGCAAACCAGCTGAGGATGCTTCCCCATTTTATAAAGTGTGGATCTATTTCAATGCTTCCTGCTACTATTGAGAGCACTGTGGGGTTCATTAAAAGAAATGACAGATATGTTGATTAAATTCCACTCTCAAGAGGCATAGTCTGCAAATGTTTCAAGTATTTGCCTTGACAAAGTGCTGTTACACCCAGTTGGAAAGAATGCTGTAATATCTATGGAGGGTTTCATACGTGATCAGATACGTTGTTCATAGGGTGATGTCAACTATATTATAGGCCAGAATCTTACTTGCAAAGGAAATCGTGCCAGAAAAACAATCTGTAGCTAACTGTCTAAAGATCCCTCCTAAAATATCCACCCTGTAATCAGAAATAATGTCTCTGACCAGAATGACTGTAAGCATCATTGGTAGACAAAGCACACATCAGCCAAGCCTTTGCTTCTGGGCTGCCCACCTCTCAGAAGCCTCCTTTTCACAGCATCATTTCCCTGGCTGATGTGTACATGCATGTAGGGGAGATTGTGGGG